ATATATATACATACATATACACACACATACACAAAAATAAAATAAAAACACATTTGAAACGTGTTTTCTTACTAAATTGTGAGCTGAACGAAAGTTGCAGCAAATATCAGCAACAGGAGTCAAATTTCATTAATCACGAGAGTGAAGAGCTGACTGAAAAGATGATGACGGAATAGGCTATTTTATGTAAAAACGCCTATTTAAGCGAATCTGTCATTGTACTCTTTTATTGTTGTGTTTTCCGTGAAAAATAATAGACTATTGAACTCAGAATTCAAGCAATCGGCCCCCGAAATTGCACTAATTTTAGTGACACTAAAAAGTATGCGGCTGCACTGGCATTCATAATGGTGCGCGTCCATGGCGACGAGCGAGCAGAACAGAGCGAACGTTTAGTTAATTTCTACTTCCATAGGAATTCATTCGAGCGCCACCATTTCAATGTCCGTGCGGACGTCCATATTATACTTTCGCTTTCAAGTTAGTGTTTTTAAACCCCCCAGCGGGAGGTTTACACAATTTGTTTACACAATCACACGTTGATTAACCGGTGGGAAAATATTCCCATAGTAACATCCCTAATATATAAATATATATAAATTCAATAGGCCTACCTGATTTTGAACACAAGAGGGCAGTATAGCACTATATATGATTTGGATTATTATTATTTTTGACTAAACAACCATTCTGGCTGTTTTTAAACTTAAAAATAATTCTTAAATTGAAAAAAAGGAATAAAATGGGTTTAGTTCTAATATTTGTATAATTTTATATAAAAATAAATGGTGTATAATTACATTTTAGAAAGATATGAGACATGCCCTGATTCTTTTTTTGACATTATTGTCCTCGATCAGAGCCCTAATCTGTTTATTTTTTCAGTTACACATTCTACATTGATTAAAAAAGAAAAATCAAATGTGTTTTTATTTTATACAGAAATAAATAATCTATCATTCAGATGAGAATAAAGTTAGTGTTAGTTCAAATTTTAAGGAAAACAAATATATGATCTGAAATATAGCACATTCATTTATAATTCATTCAGGTTCAATTACCAAACATACAAATCTCAATGTAATTTAAAGCAAACAATACATTTAAAATACATGGGTTGTATGCTATTTTTTTTTATATAAAAAGATATATATCCAAAAAGACAAGGCCTAAACTTTAACAAGGGTTAAACAATCACTGTAACAGACACAATCACACACACACACACACACACACACACACACACACACACACACACACACACACACACACACACACACACACACCCACACACACACACACACGTCAAATCACTTACATTTTAGATGCAATATTGACTTTTTTTTCTGTTTCAGCAGCGAAAATAGTTAAACAAAGATCACAGCAGAACCATCGAGCATCTCACAGCAACGCGTTCTCATTACTGAATGATTCAGCATTTTGAACGAATCGGTTGACTCAAAGATTCAACGACCAATCCATAATCTGTCTCATTCATGAATGACTCAGCCGTTCGAACGAATCGTTTGAACGAATGAATCAATGACTCGCTCATTAAGACGGTCGCCTGGCGACACCTAATGACGGTTTAGTGATATTAAGTATCATTCTTTCCAACGATTGTTAATTAACTCATATTTGAAACATAAGCTATATATATATATATATATATATATATATATACACACATATATATACACACACACACACACACACACACACACACACACACCCACACACACACACACACACACACACGTCAAATCACTTACATTTTAGATGCAATATTGACTTTTTTTTCTGTTTCAGCAGCGAAAATAGTTAAACAAAGATCACAGCAGAACCATCGAGCATCTCACAGCAACGCGTTCTCATTACTGAATGATTCAGCATTTTGAACGAATCGGTTGACTCAAAGATTCAACGACCAATCCATAATCTGTCTCATTCATGAATGACTCAGCCGTTCGAACGAATCGTTTGAACGAATGAATCAATGACTCGCTCATTAAGACGGTCGCCTGGCGACACCTAATGACGGTTTAGTGATATTAAAAGTATCATTCTTTCCAACGATTGTTAATTAACTCATATTTGAAACATAAGCTATATATATATATATATATATATATATATATATATATATATATACACACATATATATACACACACATATATATACACAAAAATAAAATAAAAACACATTTGAAGCGTGTTTGCTTACTAAATTGTGAGCGGAACGAAAGTTGCAGCAAATATCAGCAACAGGAGTCAAATTTCATTAATCACGAGAGTGAAGAGCTGACTGAAAAGATGATGACGGAATAGGCTATTTTATGTAAAAGCCCCTATTTCAGCGAATCTATCCTTGTACTCTTTTGTTGTTGTGTTTTCCGTGAAAAATAATAGACTATTGAACTCACAATTCAAGCAATCGGCCCCGTTATTGCACTAATTTTAAAGTGACACTAAAAAGTATGCGGCTGCACTGGCATTCATAATGGTGCGCGTCCATGGCGACGAGCGAGCAGAACAGAGCGAACGTTTTTTAGTTCATTCCTACTTCCATAGGAATTCCCTCGAGCGCTCTGCACGTGGCCATTATCAATGTCCCGTATTTAAAAGCTCTCGGTCCTCAGTCACATACCAAATATATGTATAATGTATATATAAATATAATTTTGGACACAAGAGGGCAGTATGGCCCTATGTATAATTTTGTGTTTAAACTAAAAGAGCCCCTCCCCCCCTCCCCACACAGACACACACGAATGGCAGGGTGCATTCTCTCTGTCAGAGGGAGAGGGAGAGAAAATTCTCAGAAACATCCACATTCAAACCAAAATATCTGACTTCCTCTTGGTCTGAGCTAATGACAGTTAATTAGAAAGTTGTCCGGCTTGATCTGAACCATATGCATACCTGTGTCTGTCGAGTTTCATGCAATTTCAAGCATGCTAAGAGTCTCAAAAGCATCAAACAAGAATATTAAAGTTTGATGTGTTGCCACGGCAACAGTATCTAAGATATCAATAATCCTTTCACAGGTCTACATCTGGCGTGTGTTTACATTATACACATAAAGTTTGAAGCAAATCGGGTAAAAATAAGAGGGTGATTTCAAAGCATTTAGGAAGTGACACACTTCCTGCTGCCAGTTGGTGGCGCTATAATTTTGACTCACAATAGTCACATCCATGTGATCGGCCTCTTACAACGAACACACTGTTGAAGTTTCATCAAGATCAGTTAATGTATGCAGTAGTTATGACACACTTCCTGTTTCACGTTTCTCGCCATAATTTTGTTTCCTCGCCACGGCCAAACCGTTCGAGATATCAAAAATCCCCTCGCAAACTTTCATCCTCAATGTCTTGACTTCATGCTGACCGAGTTTCGTGCCGTTTGTTTGAATTCTCTAGGAGGAGTATTTCACATTCCATTGCGTGTGTTTTACCAACAACCCTAAATAGCCGACTTCCTGTTGGGCTGGGGTAAAAAGTAAGAGTGTGAAGTATATATGAAACGAGGAGATCTACATGTGTACCGAGTTTCATATTATTACATGCAAGCGTGTTTGATTTATGGACCATGTTTTCGGACCCCGTTCCAGGGGGCGCTGTCGAGCCCCCCTGCCACGCCCGGGTACCATCTTCAGCCCGGCCCTGATGGCCGCGGGTTCTGACATGTGTGCAAAGTTTCAGGAGTTTTTGAGCATGTTAAGGCCTCCAAAAGTGTCCAAAAGGTAGCAGAAAAATAATAAGAAGAATAATAAATAATCCTAAGGAAAACAATAGGGCCTTCGCCCTTTGGGCTTGGGCCCTAAAAATAATCCTAAGGAAAACAATAGGGCCTTCGCCTTTTCAAGGCTTGGGCCCTAATAATCCTAAGGAAAACAATAGGGCCTTCGCCTTTTCAAGGCTTGGGCCCTAATAATCCTAAGGAAAACAATAGGGCCTTCGCCTTTTCAAGGCTTGGGCCCTAATAATCCTAAGGAAAACAATAGGGCCTTCGCCTTTTCAAGGCTTGGGCCCTAATAATCCTAAGGAAAACAATAGGGCCTTCGCCTTTTCAAGGCTTGGGCCCTAATAATAATAATAATAATAATAATAATAATAATCCTAAGGAAAACAATAGGGCCTTCGCCTTTTCAAGGCTTGGGCCCTAATAATAATAATAAATAATAATCCTTAGGAAAACAATAGGGCCTTCGCCTTTTCAAGGCTTGGGCCCTAAATATTGTTTTATATTTTAGTGTTATTTAACAATAATAATAATGAAGTAAAAAAAGCATAAAACATTTATATTTGAATGTAATGTAATATATATATACGGTATACACTACCGTTCAAAAGTTTGGGGTCGGTACGATTTTAAATACTTTTAAAAGAATTCTCTTCTGCTAACCATGGCTGCGCTTATTTGATTAAAAATACAACAAAAATCAGTTATAGTATTAAATATTATTCCAGTGTAAATCAGCTGTTTTCTGTGTGAATATATAGTAAAGTGTAATTTATTCCTGTGATCAAAGCTGAATTTTCAGCATCACCAGTGTCAGTGTCTTCAGTGTCAAATGATCCTTCACAAATCAGTATAATATGAGGATTTGATGCTCAAGAAACATTTATTATTATTATCAATGTTGAAACAGTGGTTGGTCTGTCAGTTGTACAGTTTTTTTTTTTTTTTTTTTTAGGATTCTTTGATGAATAGGAAGTTCAAAAGACTTTTGTAACATTATAAATGTCTTTACTGTCACTTTCGATCAAATTAATTATTCCTTGATAAATAAAAGCATTGATTTCTTTCCTACAAAAAATAAAAATAAAATTCTCACTGACCCAAAACTTTTGAACGGTAGTGTATATATATACATACACACACACACACAATATATATATATATATATATTAAATGAGACTGTTTTTTTTTTATAATTTAGTTTAAAAATCATGCTAACTAAACTCTCTTAAAACATGAATTGATTTTCCATTTACCATCACCATCCTTGGCATTTTCTGGCAGCAGGGCATCTTGGCGGTTCCCTAATACAAAAGCCAGCGTGGAAAGTATGCCGGCATCCAGGACCCCCAGCATGGCCAGTATGTACGCCCAGTGAACGGAGCAGTTCCCTGGGGAGAAACTACTCACACGCTCCCCGCACAGCGCCCGCATCTCAGCACACGCCCAGGAGTCTGGGAACAACACACACGCCAGGACCAAACAGAAGCCTGGGGACACAAACAGATATGCATTAGGAACACAAGAGAGAGAGAGAGAGAGAAAGAGAGAGAGAGAGAGAGAGAGAGAGAGAGAGAGAGAGAGAGAGAGAGAGAGAGAGAGAGAGAGAGAGAGAGAGAGAGAGAGAGAGAGAGAGAGAGAGAGAGAGAGAGAGAGAGAGAGAGAGAGAGAGAGAGAGAGAGAGAGAATGTGCTGCTTAACATATTTAGATCAGATTTCCAGCAAAGAAGGCCACATTTCAGTGTGGAGAGATTCTCAATGTAATATAGCTCTGCAAAGAGGCTGTTATTGAAGGATGGCAGTGCTAACTATATAGGACTCGACAGCAAACCTATAGCCTGTGACCTCAGAGCCTCATTTAACACGCAAAGAGGTTCGCCAATCATAAACAAGCTCATTTACATCCTTCAGAAGTAAGTTAAAGGTACAATAGCAAAAACGGCATGTTTAACTCTTAAGGTGATGATACACAGGCCATAAATCATAAGCAAGGGTCATGAGAAACTGAATTATGATGTTTTTGGTGCAACAAAAACTGAATAACATGAGGAATCATCAGACAAAAAACTGCTTTAAAAATGATATTATATGAGCTCTTTAGAGGAAATCACATATATATCTCTCATACAAGTTGCCTGTGAAACCATTCATTCATTATTTCCAAAAGAGGAAAAATGTCTGATTGCATTACAGTAATGACTGTTTGAGGGAAAATGAATTGCCTGATTGTCATGAAAATAGTGTCATAATGCATAATAAAAAACAGGCTTCTTTTTATACCAAGAAATTAGATTTGACTTAAATTATATATATATATTGGAGTCCGTAAGATTTACTACTTCTATTCGGCTAGGAGTGACAGACATTTATTATGTTAAAGAAGATTTCTATTTTATATAAATGTTTTATCTCGTGTTTATCTAAATCTAATTTTATAAATGCAACACTTTACACAAAAATACATTATTAAGAAATGTTCTTGAGCATCAAATCATAATATTAGAATGATTTCTGAAGGATCATGTGACACTGAAGACTAGAGTAATGAGGCTGAAAATGTCAAATATATTCAGAGAGAACACGGTTCGTGTAAATGGTAATATCTCACAATATTCCACTTCTTTGACCTGAAGAAGCGTCTCACCTGCTGTGAGCTGCAGCCAAGCACATATCTTATAGACCGTTGCTGTGTTGCAGAAGCGGAACAGACACAGGCAGCCCACGCTGGCCCACACCATGGTGAGAGACATGCACACCAGCACAGCGGGAGACTGGAAGGCAGGGAGTGGGGTCAGGGTGTGAAGAGACCCACGGCATTCTGGGACGGGCCAATCGGTCTCCACGCAGACCTCAAAGAGGCCCAGCGTCCCGCTCGGGGGGGCCGGTCCTCCTCCGCGGTAGTGCAGCTCGCGAGTGCCCACCCAGGACGGCTGGATGAGGATGACCACCTCGATGATAGCGAAGCAGAGCGTACAGATGGCCCACAGCACGCCCACCGCCCGCGCGCTCCGGATGAACTCGGTCTGATACAGACGGGACACCTCAGACGAGTGATGCTGCATGCTGGACACAGCGGCGGCAAGAAGAAACTCGCTTCTGTTTAATGTAAGACAAAATAATCAACATGTTATTCAGTGACATATACAACCATTTTTTCTTAACGTCCATAACAACCCATATTAAAGGGATAGTTCACCCAAAAAGGAACATTTTAAAATGTACTCATGTCGTTTCAAACCTGTATGACTTTCTTTCTTCTGCGAAACACAAAAGAAGATATTTTGAAGAATGTTGGTAAGAAAACCATATGTGTTTGTTGTTCATACAATGGAAGTCAAAGGGGACCGATACTAGCCTGGATGCCAGCCCGAACCCCGCCCACAACATTTTTTGGTCGGGAAGTTCGGTCTGGACTCGCTCCATTGAGGAGTAATTATGACCGGTTCAGAATTAGTCGGGCCAATCAAATTGCCAGGGCGGGTTTTATACGATGATGGACAGATGATCTGCAGTTACGTAATCATCACATTATCGAAGAGCGCTTAACTGGTTTCCCTCAGAGATGACTGCCGCTGGAGAACTGAGATGTAGAGATTCCGCTATCGCGTCTTTTGTAAAAGAAATCGACAGCGCATTCATTTTAAAATACGAACAGAGAACTGCAATCAAGGCATTTGTCGATCAGAAAGATGTGTTTGCCGTCCTTCCTACGGGATTCGGCAAAAGTTTAATTTATCAGCTGGCTCCGATGGTCGCTAAGAAGATGGGACACAATGAAAACCCTGTGGTCGCTGTGGTTTCTCCTTTGGTCGCACTCATGGAGGACCAAGTAAAAGAAGCAACACTCATTATTTTACTACTTCTTCCAGCGTGCGTGCATGAGTTCTGTTGACAACTTTGCGTAGCTCATAAAAAAAACACTTACTGCGTTGCTCTGATTGGTTGTAGGTCTATCCAATTGAGTGCAGAGTTTTTTTTCCCCCTGGTTCGGTTAAGACACGCCTCATAATCAAAGCCCTATGGAGCATCAGACTCACATTCTGACTAGAATATGAGTATGACGAAGTCAGGCTAGACCGATACAGTTTGGTGGTTACCAACATTCTTCAAATAATCTTCTTTTGTGTTTCATAAAAGAAAGTTATTCATACAGGTTTGGGACGACATGAGAGAGAGTAAATTAATTTTACTCATTGGGTCTTTAAGAGTTTAACCATATTTGATTTTGAGGGTGGATGTCTAGACTGAGTTTTTTTTTTTTTTTTTTACATACGAAATCAGTTTTTACTCAGAAAATTTCTTTGAAATGTTACCCTTTGAAATACAAATGATACAATGATTGTATCATTTGATTATAATATGGTACTTTGAAAAATACTATTGAACTAAAATTCATGTACCATAGCTTTTACGGTAACACTTTACAACAAGGTATTATTAGTTAACGGTAGTTAATAAATTAACTAAAGTTAACAAACAAAGAGCAAATCATTTGTTACAGAACTTATTATTCTTTGTTAATGTTAATAAAAATACAACTGTTCATTGTTAGCTCAGGTCCATTAAATAATATTAACATATATTAATAATGTAAAAGTAAATGTAGAAATTACCATTAAAATGGAAATTACCAAATGGAACCTTATTGTAAAGCGTTTTAATATAGTACTTTGTGGTAATACCATTTATACCTTTTTGTAAGTGCATCATATTCATTTACATTACACTTCAATGAATTCCGGAGCATGTCCATAAAAAACATGGTGTTACTATGGTACGAAGTACAACCACTGTCATTTTTAACCCTAAAATATCACAAAGCATTGCCAAATGATAAAAAGGGACATGATGCACAAAAGAACATCTAAGAAAGCGAATGCCTACAGGAAAACGAACACAAAACCTGATCTCAACATGGTAAACAATGTAAAATAGATGGATGAAGGGTGCTTCACCTCTCTGCTCTGGCTGATTCCAGGTCTCTTCCTCCAAAAACAGGAACTGGGTGGAAAAAATCACATTCAAATGTAATTACTGGAGAGCAGCATCATGTAAAAGCATGGGAGTGAATGAAAGAGAGGAACTGACCTGAATGGAGGGATTGTTCTCCTCCTCTTGCTCCTGGTGCGATTACGGCAGGATGTGCGACATTAAAAACAGGCCCACGCTGGCTGCAACCATCTTCCTCGCACATATGGAGGGAGAAGAGAGTGGGAGAGGGGAGGGGGGAGCGCAGGGCCATTCTGATTGGGAGGAGGGTCTCTGCGTGTACACACAAATACACACACGCAATAGCAATGCAATCCAATGATGCACACACAATGAGAAAATGAAATTATCAGTCAATCCCTATGGGGGAAAGAGTTACAGCTCATTGATTCTAAAAGCATTACATTCCATGCAGAGATGACAGAGGAAGTGAGAGAATAATACATGGTGCAGAAGTGATGCATTTCAGATGAGCGAAAGATAAATAACCCAGAAAGACAGCAGCAGAGAAATAGAGGTTTGAATGGTCAAAGGAAGAAGCTCATCTGTGCATCATTTAGCAGGTTCACTGACAGCATAATGTATATGTATGTATGTATATATATATATAGGTTTTATATATATACTTATATAGGTTTTATATATATACTGTATATATATATACATGTGATAATAAAGAAAAATGTTAATGTCATATATATATATACAGTATAAATTGCTATATATATATAAAATTAAAATTACAACACACTATAATGTATAAATATTTACGTAATAATGTGTAATACTAATAATAATATAATACATATTTTTGTGGGGTTTTGTACATTATGATAATGAGAATTAAGGGATAATTGTCATTTATTGTCATGAAAATAATGCAAAAAATATTGAATGGTCATAAAATATATAAAAACGAATATATTTTTTATTTATTTTTTGCTTTGGGAAGAAATGGACTGAACATGTTTTTGACAGGTCTGATGCTCTTTATCTCATCACAAATGTGACCATAGAAAGAACTGGCTTTTAAGAACATGGAACAGACAGGTTTTATTCAGATTGCAACAAGTACCAACGGTTACAAAGTGAGAGTTTCCAAACGTTTGTCTCACTATACTTGTGCAAAATATAACAACGGAAATATACAAAAACACAAAATATCTCGGTTACATAGTCTTCACACACTGGTTTGGGAAATATTGCACTTTTTATTGCTTTAAGCTTAAGGTTGTTTTGTAATTTCCACAGTTTGAATGTCTTGGCCTGGAGTGATGCAATGAAAACAGGAATGCTTCACAACAGTGCAGTGCAAACACTGTTGGCTGTGCATTGAAAATGCAAAACATTGGAAACACTAAATACTACAGTTGGTACCGTGCTTCTGCAATAACTTAAAAAAATACTATATCAATTTGCAGAGAGTGCACCTTTTAAAAACTGATTTTCTTTAACATGAAACAAATTCTATTAATAAAAATTTTATTTTGGCAGATAAACCTCATAATTGGTACAATGATAATCTATGAAATACGTTTTAGACAAGTAAGGAAGAAAGACAGATGAACTGAAAAAAACTTGCTTCCACTGCAGCTCAGTTTGGTGTTATTTTCACTGCATTTATATGCATGCAAACAACAACCATCTCGCAAACACACACACATACACACTTCCTTCTCTCTGTTGGTTTAGCTGAAAGGAGAAATCTCCTCTCCAAACTTGACGAGGTGAGCAGTGTTTTTGGCTTCATGGAACACCTGTGAGTGCAGATACAGACAGACAGTTACACAGCTGTTTGTGCATGTGTATTCAAAATGTGCTGTTTTTCTAAATCCATCCCATCTTTGGAAACATACAGTCACGCAGAGTCAAGTAGCAGTAATGTCAAAATAGATAAATGAAATAAGCATGTCAGTCTTATGAAGTACATCATTTATTCATGTTGCAGATCAGCATTAATGTTGCCATTCATCATAACAGCAGATTACAGGCCCGTGATCTGGGCGGCACCTACCTTGTTGTGGATGTATGACTCGCAAGCGTAACACCAGACAGAAAGATCAGCGAAGCTCAGCACCAGAGGGTGACCCGACACCTGCCCGTGGGTCACCATGTGCTGGTTCACATAACGCCCGCAGAGCACCTGAAAAAAAGAGGAAAAAAACTCCAATAAACAAAAAGCACACTTTGCCGAGTGCTTGTGTTCAGAGGAACCTCAAGCTATATCTTACTCTTGTGCTTTATGTGATGACATTTAAGATGAACTATGTAGAAAATTGTATTCAATAAGTTATGTCACAGACTATGTGTTTTTTGCGTACATGTGCTTTCCATTGTTTCTACATTCTATTAGAAATGTTATAGTCGGAGTGTCTATTTACGCTAAGTGCAAACAGCCGGTCTTGTTGGCAGAGGCTATTTACTCTAACTCCGTCCACTGACACCTGGTTGGGCCAGACAAAATTTCGGAAGACGCTAGATTGTCAACGGGACCAATAGTGAAGGGGTAAGGCGAGTGGCAGAAAGCTTTAAAGTCGGCATGAAATCAAATTTGACAAATCTTCTTTTTATATGTAATATTGTAGTGTTTATTATAAACGATTTATCTGTGCACTTCATTATTTTTTTTAAATTCATGTACCCTTATAATCTTTAATCAAATACAATACCCTTCCCTCCCCCCTTTGAAACGACCTCTCTTCTCTTTCGGTCACGTGCCATGGCGACCTCTCAGAGAACCTGCTCGTATAAATATGGGCTGATTCCTGCCTGAAAATTTAGCTGCTCGTCCTCGTTCTCGTCGCCGGGCTCCTCAATAAAAAATCCTTCATGGGAGAGTAACGGTGGGGAGTCCGGTGGAGAGAAATCCTCCACAACTGAATGTAAACTGGCATTCAAATCTGCCTCCATTTTGTTTGCAACGCCCAACCTCCAACGATCCAATCAATTCCCGAAGGACGAAATCAAGCCCCGCCCTACATTTTTTTTCTAATTTCAGAAGCCGTTTCACTCGGATATACGTCACATTAAGGAAAAAATGACAATCTCAACTTCCGTTTCATGCTGACTTTAAAGCAAATCGACCCGAGTTTGAATCCGCCTATAAAATAAAGCATTTATTTTCCATAAAAATGTAGAAAATATTCGAAAAGTGGAAATAAAGTGCTTAACGTGTTTAATAATAAAGAGTTTTTCGGTTAGGGTCAGGAGTAGGTGTAGGGAGGGCTTTATTGTCCCAATAAGGCAGCATCCTTTCAATAAATATAATCGTAAATAGTATCTGCCACTATTTATAAGTAGAAATATCATGTAACTACTATTTACACTTAGCCTTTTGCAAAGAATATTAATACTATTTATTTATAGTGTAAATAGCATCTATCGCCAAGTAAATGTTGCGATTTTAATTTAGTGCAAATAGCCTCTGCCTTGTATAGAAGTTACTGCTGAATGATGATATGTTTGTGAAAATGTTGCAGATTTCACACACGGTTAGTGGATGAGACCTAATGTGCACCACTGTCAGCAGTGAGAAGTCTAAATAATACTAAACCTCAATATGTTGTGATTTTGAGCGTTGTTAGCTGTTACCTTGTAGCAGAAGAGGCAGATCCAGTTTTCAGCATCACCTCCACACTCTTCACACGGCAGGAAGACATCAATGCCACCTGCGGGCACCGGTCGCACTGACTCCAAGTGTGGGCACCATGGCAACGGGTTCACCACATACATGCCGTCCTAGCAACAGAATAAAACTGAATGAGACGACAGACTGAAAACAAGTAATCTAAAATTCTGCTACTCTGCAGATAAATGTAGCTCATATATATATATAATGTTATTATGCTAATATGACGAACACATTTACCACATCCGTGGGTTGTTGTCCGAAGACCTCTATGACTGTCTTCACAGCGTTACCACAAGCAGCATCCAGACCACAGCTCTCCTGGTCATACATGCCAGCTGGATTTCCAGTGACCACAGACACTCGGATCGACTGGTCCTGGTAAACAGAGCATGTTTAATGACTGAATACAATATGAGTCAGCAACACAAACTGCTAATGACATTTGAGATTGCCTACAGGTGTCTCTGCTTTTACAGCTGTAATCTCTGCATGTGTGCTGTCTCCATCTCCGGCTCTCTCTGACGAGGGTTTCAGGGGTGACTCCTGGCCTGCCGAATTCCTCTGTGGGTTGGGTTTCACCTTACGTCTGGCTCCTCCAATTGCAACTGACGCTGGGCTGGTGTTTGATGAGGTACTTGTGTTGAGATTCAGAGAAAGCAGATCCTCAGTGAGCTCGTCAAGGCCGGACTGCTCAAGATTGTGCGGTTTCTGTCCGGGACTCTGAGCAGGGGTGGACTGGCGAGGCGTTTTCTTGCCCTTGGCTGCCGATCCCCGCTTGCCTTTCGGTTTAGGAGACGGCAAAGACAAACGGAGTGACTCTGGAACTTAATATAAAAAAACAAATTAAAATAATCATAATTTTCTTACATTTGTTTAATTCTTCAGATATGATATTGATGTGAAGTGCATGTCAGGCTCAGTCTCACTCTGTATTCTCAGGGAGCTCCAGAAGGGGGCGTGGGCACGCAGGACGTTGTTAATGGTGGCAGCAGCGCTGGTCTTGGGAGGGGGCAGATGGTCTAGAAGTGGAGGGGAGTCTCCCAGCAACATACTGGTGCACATGGACATGGACTCAGAGATGGAGGTGAGGTTATATCCTCCCTATGGTGAAGAGGGTTAGATGACATCATTAACCAGTGTGTAGTTCATACACTACTGTTCAACAGTTTGGAGTCGACTTTTTAATGTTTTACTAAGAAGTTTCTTATTCGTACCAAGGTTGCATTTATTTGATCAAAAATATTAAAAACCGTAATATTGTGAAATATCATTACAATATAAAATATGTGTTTTATGTATTTGAAGACATAATTTATTCCTGTGATGCAAAGCTGAATTTTCAGCATCATTGCTCCAGTCTTCAGTGTCACATGATCCTTCAGAAATCATTCTAATATGCCGATTTGCTGCTCAAGAAACATTTATTATTATTATCAATGTAGAAATCACTTAGCTGCTGAAAATAACACTGCTTAATATGTTTGTAGAAACCGTGATGCAGTTTTTTCAGGATTATTTGATGAATAGAAACAGCATTCTACTTGAAAATGTGGCTTGCAGACATTGCAAATGTCTTTACTGTCACTTTTGATTCAATGTAATGCATCCTTGCTGATTTATTAACTATTAATTATATGTGATCAGCCAAGTCAATTAATCATCTGATATTTAGGTCATTTTGAGATTGGGTATTAACCCTGGCCAATAATTGAAGTGGTTGGTTCCA